ATTTATGATGGACACATTCTGAGGTTAGGGAATAAAAGAATGTTATCTTCAAATGCTGACAGAAAATAACTGTCAGTTCTGGAGAGAGCTTCTCCAACTCACAAGGTTAGCAGAATGGATTGCACACAGAACAAGGTACTGTTTCCAACTATTTTGCTGGAAGTTACAAAAAATTAAAACAATTGCCTTTGTAAAAAGGATGAAGGATGCTGCAGCAATTTCAGGAGCACAGTAGACAGATGAGATATCACAGTAGGAGATGAGTGGAAGGCAAACAGTTATAGAAAAGTGGCATTAGAAGAAGCACGTGCGAAAACAGTGGGAAAGAAAGAACAAAATGGAAATGAACAAAGCTCAAAAGGTTAGGCGATGTGTGATGTATATGGTAACAGGGAGAAGATATATAAGATAGCATAATTGATACCTTCAAAGAGGAAGGCAGAAATTTTTATTTAGATTTACTGTTAAAGGCATAATACAAAGAAATACAAAGTCTATTCAATAAATAGACTGAAAGGACGTGTTAGGTCTCATTTAATATCGTTGCCTGAGTGTTTATCATGGAAACCACAGTTACAGTCTTAGATTTTATCAGTAAAGCTAAGAATCTCTTTGCGATCCAGATCAAAGGATCAAGTTACCTCTGGAGGATAAAATTCGGGGTGTTCTCAAACGTCAAAATTCAGAACCAAAATAATAATATTCATAATGCCCTCAAATTGGACAGACTTCTTTTGAGAGACAGAGAGTGTAAGCAGGGCGGGGGTGGGGGGCGGCGCAGAGAAAGAGGGAGAGCGAGAATCTCGAGCAGGTTCCACCCTCAGCACGGAACCCGACACGGGGCCAGATCCCAGGAGCCTGAGATCATGTGACCTGAGCTGACCTGAAGAGTCGGATGCTCAACCAACTGAGCTGCCCAGGTGTCCCCAAATTTGCCTTTTAAACCAGTTTTGCATATACAGTTCTGTGGGCATCAACTATATTCACATTGTTGTGAAACCATCATCACCATCCACCTGCAGGATGTTTTCAGTCTTCCCGTCACTGAAATTCTGTGCCCCACTGAACAGTGACTACCTTTCTCTGCAGTGCGTGGCAGCTGCCATTCTGTTGTGTGTCTCTCTAAATTTGACTACTCCAGGTACTTCCTATCAGTGGAGTCCTAGAGTATTGGTCTTTTTGTGGTTGGCTTGCTTCCTTTTAGTTTAATATCCTCGAGGTTCATCCATGTTGTATGACATATGTCAAACTCTCCTTCTGTTTTAAGTCTGAGTAACAAGTAGTTGTATGCGTATGCCACATTTTGTCTGTCCTTCACCTGCCAGTGGTCGTGGACGGATGTGCATCTTCCTGCTGGCTATTTGTGAATAATGCTGCTGTGGACATCAGTGCGCAGATATCAGCACGAGTCCCTCACTTCACTTCTTTGGGGTATTGGCAGATTTAACCATGAAAATTAAAATGACCTAGGTTTTTTGGCACTAGATTAGTTGCTTACAAGGTTTATATGGAAAAATAAGCAGCAGTGACATTGCTGAAAAGAGCAGTAACGTGTAGGAATCTGTCTTACCAGGACATGAAACCAGGTTGAAATGTCCAGCACGTTGTGGTAGTGGTGCATGGACAGACAGAAAATCAGTGACCCAGAATGGAGTATATAGCAACAGACGCGCGTATATGCACGTGGGGGTGCGTGGGTGACTCAGTCGGTTAGGTGTCCGACTCTGGATTTCAGCTCAGGTCATGGTCCCAGGCTTGTGGGATCTAGCCCCGCATCAGGCTTTGGGTGGACGTGGAGGCTGTTTAAGATTTTCTCTGCCCCTCTCCCACTCACACCCTGTGTCTCTCAAAAAGAAAAACAAAAGAATTCAGTTCATGAAAAGTGTAGCATTTCATGTCACAGAAAGAAGGACAAAATGATTCAGCAAATCCCATTGGAACTAGGTGGCTCTCTAGGAGATTTTATACATCCATAGACATACGTATATTTTAAACGCCATGAGGGTTTTCATCTCTCTCACTGCTGTTTTTCCTTTGAGAATAAAGATGCCATTGTTATCCCCATTTGAAAAAAAAAGACGACGCTGCTTTGATTCCACTTTATCTTCTAACTCTGACCGCCTACTTCTCAGTTCCCTTGCTGTCCTTTACTTGACTTCACGTTTTTCTCTGCCCATTCTCTTTTGTACCCACTCCCGTCAGGTTTTTGCTCTCGCGCTTTCCAGAAAGTGCTGTTGCGTGGTTACCAGTGACCCCGTGGGGCCACGTCCCGTAGCTGGATGCACGCTGTCATTTCTCTTTGATCCACCAGCAGCACTGGGGTGGCAGCCCTTGGGCCTCACGTCCGGGGTACCGCATGTTCACTCACGCTAAGTTTTTTTTTTCCCCCTGTTGTTACCTTCTGGCCCCTTAGTCTTTGCTGGTTCTTCTTCATCTGTTGACGTGGCCGTGCCTCACCTGGTTATGTCAGCCCGTCTCAGGGCTTTAAATATCTATGTGCCGCCGTTCCGATTTGAAACTTCCTGCTCAGACTCCTCTACTGGGGTGTTTAGAAGGCATTTCAGTCCTAACATGTCCCAGACTGATCTCCTGACATTTACTTTCCGTCCTCCACCACAGTCTTTGTGATTGATCTTCTCGTCGCGTACGGTGTTTTACCCTGGTCCATGGTCGCTGTCATCTCTCATCAGGATAACTGCTCTGGGTTGCTAACAAGACCCTGGTCACTTTATGAAGCACGAGGAAGAAAGCAGCTAGAGGGAGGGCCTGTTGGAAGATTTAAATGAAATCTTGTCACCCTTCTGCCCTTCCTCTGCCTCAGAACCTCCTAGTGCTTCCCCTTTCAGGCAGTAAAAGCTCAAGCCTTGGTAACGGCCTAAAACGTCTGCCTGATCGTCCCCTCCGCACATGTTGCGTTCCTGTCCCCATTCAGTTGCTCAGGTCCTGCCCCACCAGTGTTCTTGGTGTTCCCTTTCATCACTTCCTCACTTGAGGTCTTTGCCAGTGAGGCCTCGCCCAGTGCCACAGCCCCGTTTTTGGCAGACTCCTGGCTCTCTTGGTAGCCTTCAGTTTTTCCCAGAACGGTCACCACCTTTTAGCAAATGATATTTTGAAAATCTGTGTTTTTCTTTATTGTTTTCCTCTTCCATTAAAATATAAGCTATGTGAGAACAGGGATTTTTGTCTTTATTCTTTCACAAATCTCCAACACTGAGTATACACCCAATATATATTGTCCAATGAAGAATTAGGTCACGTACCTCTTCTACATAAAACCTTCTATTGGTGTTCCCTTCCCTCTCTTGGACTGACAGAAGTCTGCCCTTGCACCTCCTGCCTCAGGGCCTTTGCTCTTGCTGTTTCATCTTTGGGGTATTACTCTTTTCTCAGGTATATAAATCCCTCCTTAACTGCCCTTGGGTTTCTGGGGAATTGTGATCTTCTCAATTGGGACTTTACTGTCACCCTGTTTTAATGTTGTAAATCATTTCCAACCCTAGAGTTTCCTCCTCTTCCATGCTCTGATTTTCTGCATAGCATATTTCACCCTCTGAAATACTGACTGTTTGACTTCTCTTTTTATTGCCTCTCCCCTGCTCATGCATTAGAATGAAATATCCATGTTAAAAGGAATTTTTTCCACTGGTGTTATTCTTTGCACTTAAACGGTAGGTACTTAATAACTATTGCCTGAAAAAAAATGAGTTCCTGATTAAGCAAGAATTCAAGATTATAAAGTAAAATCAGTAGTGTTTTTGCATATCATCAATTTAGAAAAGCTAACAAAAACTTCATTCATGCATGTAACATTTTTTATGAAATATTTAGAAATAACCTTGACAGCAAGTGTTTAGGATCTGTTTGAATAAGATTATAAATATCCAGTAATACTAAAAACTTTCACTAGATAAAATTGCTTTCTTATTGTAGAGCTAATGTTAGTGTTGAGATATCTTTTTTCATACACACACACACACACACACATATATACACATACACATACACTTAAAGACATTTAGAGTTTTTTTCAAACTTCAAATGGATCTCAGGGCCACCGCTAAGTATATATATGCAAAAATAATGAGGAAACCTTATGAAAATCTTCTAAAATTAGTGATTTGGGATATACAAGTCTATGAACTTAAAAACCCTTGGATTTGTGCTCTAAAAGATGGAATTTTATGGTATGTGATTATATTTCCATAATACTATAAAATAACCCAAGGAAATTCTGCAGGAATACAAAAAAGAAAAATGAGTCTTTTCAAGTATTAGAAGTTTTTATAAAGTTAGAATATCATACATTGTGTTAGTGGCTCGGAAATAAGCGTAAATGTGAATGAAGTAAAATGGAGAGCTTAAAGAAAGACCCGAGTGTGAATTAACATGAAGTGCATAATGGAAATCCTCGAAACAGACAGACCTTCTGAGGTAAAGGCTGCTTACCTACTCACAGGTTATTTTCAAAATTCAAGACAGGTAAATAATTTAAAGAAAAAAGAAAAAAAATTCAGTGAAGATGAAGGGAAGATTGTTGTCTTCAGAAGGACATGACCTTTCCAAGTAATCTGTGACAACAGCATTAGAGCTAGAGAGACTGTTTTATTGAACGTAATGGCTAAAAGCTTTGGCTGTGAAATGAGACTAGGTTTAAGTCATGGCTCAGTCACTTAACTGGTTAGGTGATGCTGGGCAGGGAATATCTACACTGTTCTCTTTTTTCTATTTAATGAAGTCAATTATAGTAACTGCAGCAGTTACTACAGTCAGGATTGGATGAGAGAGCGTGTAACGTACTTAGTACAGTTTTTCGTATGTATTTGAATGCATAAAACTTTAAGAAATCTAACAGGAAGTGGAAAGACAACTGATAAGTTGAGGGAAATAAGTGTAACATGGCAGAAGAAAAGAACTTATTTCTGACAGGTTAAGGGCTCTTCTAAATCAGTAATGATAAACTCCACAATTTAGAAAGATAATATGGACCAGGACCTTTTAACAGTTGTTTCAGTGCTGAAGAAGTACACACGGCCAGCAAAGTCATGTCACCAGAAGTTCCCAATAACAGGTAATAAATGAAATGTAAATAGAAATGCAAAAAAAAAAAAAAAAAAAAAAAAATTGTAGATTGTGAAATCTTAAGCACTGACAATGGGAGTAAAAAGGCTTGTCTTCACATTTAGAACATTGATGTCTCACCAGAAAACTCACATGGCTTAATGTAAGCCATAGACAGAAAACAGTATGGCCGGTGCGGGAGCCCAGGCCCGCAGCAGGGAAGTTAGCACAGGAACACGTGGCCTTTACAACCAGAGAACTGTAAGCGTGGGGACCCCCTGGAGGGGGTTTAAATGTGTAAAGTGGGCAAAAAGGCATTTGATAAAAACAGGACAATAACAAGTAGATTTGAAAATGAACTTAAATAGTAAGTAATCCTAGAAATAATGGCATTTGAAATGAGAACTCCATGAACTTACTAGAGCAGGAAATGGCAGATAGTAAAATTTTTGAAGATTGCTGTAATCAAATCACCCGAATTGGCAGTGTTTAATTTCAGAATTATCAGGATCAGGCTATCAGGTGGTATTGTTGTTTCTGCTCTAAGAAGCATTGCCTAACAGTATGGAATATCACACATCATAAAGTATTATCTTGAGTTGTAGAAATGTATTGTTTTATACATTCTGTGTTTGTTTGGGTTTTTTTATGTTTATTTTTGAGAGAGAGAGAGCACGAGAGAGGGAGGGTCAGAGAGAGGGAGACACAGAATCTGAAACAGGCTCCAGGCTCTGAGCTGTCAGCATAGAGCCCGATGCGGGGCTCGAACTCACGGACCGCGAGATCATGACCTGAGCTGAAGTCAGATGTTTAACCGACTGAGCCACCCAGACACCCCCATTCTGGATTTTTGTAATGAACTTTTTTTTTCCCTTTGAAATAATTTTTCCCCCCTTTGGTGCATAGCTGGTCAACATGTGTAACTATTCTATATATTATACCTTTAGACCTAACAATTCTCTGAGGGAAATAATCGGACAATAGCAAAGATTTATGTAATTGGATGTTTATCATATACTATTTATAATAATAAATAACCAGAAGTTATTTTAAAAGCAGCAAGTAGGTTGATTTAATAAACTGCAGACTGTTGTGAAACCGTTGAATCAGTAGTCTAATTCGTGATTTGTTTGCACAGAAAGGTGTCTTCTTGTAGCATTTAAGTTAACCAAGGTACAAAACAAAAAGCATTTTGGACCTTTTTTTTTTTTTTTTTTTAATTAATTTTTTTTTTTACAATTATTTATTTTTGGGACAGAGAGAGACAGAGCATGAACGGGCGAGGGGCAGAGAGAGAGGGAGACACAGAATCGGAAACAGGCTCCAGGCTCTGAGCCATCAGCCCAGAGCCCGACGCGGGGCTCGAACTCACGGACCGCGAGATCGTGACCTGGCTGAAGTCGGACGCTTAACCGACTGCGCCACCCAGGCGCCCCTGGACCATTTTTATACAAGGATGTACATGTGTTTTTGTGCATGTGATGGAAAGATCTGAAATGTAAAAGTGTTTATCCATGGATGGTAGTACTTTTGTCACTTTTTAAAATAAGCCTAACTTTATATTTGGAGTAAAGCTATTTTTGTGTTGAAAAACATTATATGCCTAATGGGACGTTTTGATAAGATATCCTTTTTGTTGCCCAACATATAATATACTCTGTTAAAAATGACCCTTCTTATGACCAATTGTCATTTTAAAAGGTTCTTAGGAATGTAAGAGACTACTACCACCAGCACCGTAGGTAGTTTTGCATTGTCTTATTAATATAATCTCATTGACTCACTTTATCCAGCGGCAGAATTTGGAAGAAGAGATCTTTGAAACCAAAACTAAATTATCTGCGTATATCTTTTTTCTTCTCTTTTCATCATTGACCGTTTACTGTGGGATAGTGTTTTAGGCTGATTTTAGTTAATATTTCTGACAGACACAAAAACCCAGACTTTTGAGTACAGTCCTTTAGCAGGATATGGGAACTGTATATGTCTCCACTTTAGGCAGAATTTTTAAAATGACTTTTGTTGAAGTATAAACACACATAAATCGTGTGACAGCTCAGTGGATCTTCACAGTCCACAGTACCCCCTCTGGCCAGTGTTCAGTTTAAGAGCTACAACACTGCCAGCACCTGTCAAACCCTCTAATGCTCCTTCCCTTTCACTGCCGCCCACGCCACGCTGCCTCATACCACGGGGGACTGTTTTCCTGACTTTTTTTTTTTTTTTTTTTTAAGTTTACGTATGTATTTAGAGGGAGTTGCATGAGCAGGGAAGGGGCAGAGAGAGGGAGAGAGAGAATCCCAAGCAGGCTCCACGCTGTCAGCACAGAGCCTGACGTGGGGCTCAAACTCCCAATCCGTGAGATCGTGACCTGATCCGAAATCAAGAGTCAGACACTTTACCAACTGAGCCCCCCGGGGCCTCCTGAATGGGACTATATAGTATAAACATTTGTTCTGGCTCCTTCCGTTCACTGTTGTTAACTTTATCCACTTCACTGTACATAGTCTCAGTTTGTACAAGATGGATTTTTACAGGTAAGTTTTAACATTAGAAATGTTGTAGTTTTCTGGGGATGCAAGCTGGTGCCGCCACTCTAGAAAACAGTATGGGGGTTCCTCAAGAAACTAAAAATAGAACTACCCCACGACCCAGCATTTGCACTACTGAGTATTTATCCATGGGATACAGGTGTGCTGTTTTGAAGGGACACATGCACCCCCATGTTTATAGCAGCACTATCCACAATAGCCGAAGTATGGAAAGAGCCCAATGTCCATCGACAGATGAATGGATAAAGGAAATGTGGTGTATATATACAATGGAGTATTACTCGGCAATCAAAAAGAATGAAATCTTGCCATTTGCAGCTACGTGGATGGAACTGGAGGGTATTATTAGTGAAATTAGCTAACTGAAATTAGAGAAAGATAAATATTATATGACTTTACTTATATGAGGACTTGAAGAGACAACACAGATGAACATAAGGGAAGGGAAACAAAAAGAATATAAAAGCAGGGAGGGGGACAAAACAGAAGAGACTCATAAACACGGAGAACAAACTGAGGGTTGCTGGAGGGGCTGTGGGAGGGGGGATGGGCTAAATGGGGGAGGGGCACTAGGGAATCTACTCCTGAAATCATTGTTGCACTATATGCTAACTAATTTGGATGTAAATTTTAAAAAATAAAAAACAAAATAAAAAAGAAATGTAGTTTTCAGATACAAATATATTTCAAAGTACTTTATAAAGCCTCTTAATTGTTAAGTTTTCAAAAGTAACTATGAACGTACAGAATGAGCCTATTGTTTCTTAGTAAAATGGGAGGAAAATGTAAGGGGTTTGTTTAATCACAAGCTTAGTATTTATAAATTGTACAGGAGACTGTCAAAAAAAAGTCCATTTTCCCCTTGGGCAAAATTGTAAGAGTCTAGTCCAAAAGAGATAATTAAGTTTCCTTAATTCTGAGGTGATCACCTATTGGTGGAATTGTGTTCTCCTTTAGTTGCCATAAAGTAAAGAGGAGTGTTGAGAAACTGAAACGCGTCCGTCAGAAAATGACCAGAAAGAAGTGAAGCCATTTGGGGCAGAAGGTTGACTGTGTGGTTGAGATCACATGGGTGAAAAGCTGCTGGAAAGCAGAGCAATGAGACTTATTCTATGTGATTTGAGAAGGTGAGACTCAGACCAGTCAGTGATAGTTGCAGAAAGGCAGATTCTACATCACTCTTAGGAAGAACTTACTTTAATTTTTTTTTTTTTTAATGTTGATTTATTTTTGAGGGAGAGAGACACAGAGCATGAGCGGGGGAGGGGCAGAGAGAGGGATTCAGGATCCAAAGCAGGCTCCAGGCTGTCAGCACAGAGCCCAACACAGGGCTCAAACCCACGGACCACAAGATCATGACCTGAGCTGAAGTCAGATGTTCAACAGACTGAGCCACCCAGGCGCCCCTTAGGAAGAACTTATTTTAATAAACACATTTCATTGTGGTAAATTTCAAATTAAAGAGTAGAGTGACTAGTACAAGTTCAGAGATCTATTTACGTCCATCACTAGGATCCTCTTGTGCTACATTTCCTATCTAATACTTGGATGTAGTCTGTTCTTCAGGGAACCCTGGTTCCTCCCCTTTTACTGGGAAGTGATAGGTAGAGACCACAGTCCTGGGTATTAGAGGTGTTCATTGCTACTGGATTTTCATTGTTATTTAGGCAGTTTGATAGAGATAAGGGGGAAAGTGTGGGTGTGTGTTAAAGACTTTGTACGTTTCTAATATTTCAACTTGAAATTATAGGGGTTTTAATCTCTTTGGTTTTATATTGTGTCTCCTTTTTTTTCTTACAAAAATTTGGTTCCTAGGGGCGCCTGGGTGGCTCAGTCGGTTAGGCGGCCGACTTCGGCTCAGGTCATGATCTCGCGGTCTGTGAGTTCGAGCCCTGCGTCGGGCTCTGTGCTGACCACTCAGAGCCTGGAGCCTGTTTCAGATTCTGTGTCTCCCTCTCTCTGACCCTCCCCCGTTCATGCTCTGTCTCTCTCTGTCTCAAAAATAAATAAACGTTAAAAAAAAAAAAAATTGGTTCCTAATGACATTCACATAGTAACATATTTGATCTATATATCTATCAATTATCCATCTATCTAGGTTCAAAGTAATTATACCAATATTACCACTAATATCAGTCTCCCTGGATGGAATTTAAGATTTCTTGTGGATATCATTTTGTCTTTAAAATGTATTGTCCAAAGACTGTTTTAAAGTAATTCAAAATAATCGTCTTCCATGTAGCTATGTACTTAATTTGATAGATATATTTGTTTACATTGTTTTCAATATTTAGAGATTTGGAATATTTTTCTATATATATAATTTTGTTTCTTAAATACTTAAAGTACTTAATTGCAAAGTCAGAACCATAAGTAGATGCAGAGAAGTCTGACATCTAGGCCTCTTTCCTCCCCTTGTAGGTCACCGTTTTTATTAATCTTTCGGTTTTTTCCTTCCATGTTTAATGTGATCAGATACGTGTATATATTCATATTCCTCTTTATATGTAAGGTGGTATATTTATAGCCACTGTTCTAATTCTTTCTTTCATTTAACATCGTATTCTTTTTTTTTTTTAATTTTTTTTTTCAACGTTTTTTATTTATTTTTGGGACAGAGAGAAACAGAGCATGAACGGGGGAGGGGCAGAAAGAGAGGGAGACACAGCATCGGAAACAGGCTCCAGGCTCCGAGCCATCAGCCCAGAGCCTGACGCGGGGCTCGAACTCACGGACCGCGAGATTGTGACCTGGCTGAAGTCGGAGGCTTAAC